GGCAGCGATTGAAACTTACGTTCTAAGAAGAATAGAATTAATTATTATATATATATATATATATATAGGAAGAGAGAGAGATTAGACGGTTAAAATCGATTAAAATCAAAAGGATGGAGAGTGGTTTACAGTGGAGGGAGGAGGGAAAAATAAAATAAAACGAAAAAGTCTCGCGTGTCTAATGAAACCTAGAGCCGGCAACATCTGGCTTACCTTTCCTCTCTAGAAAATAAATAAAAGTGACGGATGTTTTTTCCCCGTCACTTCTGCATTTCATATGCGCCCGGAAACCTCCGTTTCTTCCCACCGCTGCCTTCTCTTCCTTTTTTTTCGATCGCGTCTGACACGGCGCCGGGTCACTGAAAAAAAAAAAAAAAAGAAAAAAGAAGAAGGAAAAAAGAAAAAGGGAGGAAAGGAAGAAAGAAGAAGAATTCTTACCGCAAACGAGAACACTTGCCCGACGAGTCTCTCAGTTGCTATCACTCCTTTCGACCGAGCATGGTGAATCGAGGCATCGGGAGGACACTTAAAATAAATTTATCCGGAAATCGAGCGGCATCGACTCGGTTTGTGCGAGACTTCGATTCGGTTGAAGCCGAGCGAGCTTCGCCCCGGATTGGATTCAATCGCGCCTGAAAGTGAAGATTTTTGATTAGTCGAAATTTTCCACGAGCGATTTATTCTTTTTTATTATTTTTTCTTAAAATTAATCCGCCTATATATAGAGTACGCCGATTACAATTTGTTCGAATATATCTTCCTTTTTTTTAGGGGATAAAAGTTCGAAAGGGAAAAGTTTTTGGGAGCAAAGTTGGGAAAGAACTTCGATGAAATTTTAGAAACGACGAGAAACGCGACAATCATTGCCAACGGAGGATTGGTTAATTCTTTCGGACGATATTACGAGCCTAATTGACACCACTTTGCGCTGTAATGTAAAACGTCGAACATTGGAACGGATTCAACTCGACGACCAAGTTCCAAGAAGAACATCCCTCTCTTCAACCTCGCAACTAAATTCTTCCCAGAGCGTGTCGTCTATATTTCACGAGTGGCAGACACGCTCCCTCCAGAGAGGGAAGTGCGTATTCGCTTAAAAACTTTGCTTTTCAATAACTATATTCTCTCTCTTTCTCTCTCTCTTTTTTTTATCATCTTTCTCGTCCCTCGAAAGATGATCAATCTCAAACGACTCCCTTCTAACGTGGTCGACGCGATGCGAGTGAGCCTAGAGTGAGAGTCTACGATCCTTTATAACGCGTAACAGCTTTATGGACACATTTCTCGTGCATAAATCAGGGAACTTTGTAAACTTTCGTTTAC